TGACTTCTTGCCTGATGGGCTGCCAAACAGCTGGAAAGACAGGTCTCCAGGAGCTCTGAGCTTTTTGGCTTCTTATGGTCTCCAAGCTCTCAGGCAGCTGCTTTGCATGGAATTTAGGACCTGAGGCTCCCTAATGAGGGAGATTTGGGTTATACTCTTTGCTTAGCAGCTTTCAGGTTATGCATTTTACAGGAACTGGACTCCTATATTTGTAGACATTAAGGACCTCAGGGCAATTTATGTTGGTCCATTCAGGATCTCCAGGGTACATGTCTGTAGGAGGCCCAAACAATTCCTGATAGTTGGTTCACTAAATTTCTAGGCAGCCTGTGTCAAGAATCATTGGATAGGCTGGTTCTGCATGTACCGTGGCAAGCATGGCAGCCAGCTATGGATTCACCAAGCCAGGTCTGGCTTCCTGGGCTTCCTAAATCTCAAAGGACTCTGGTGCTCTGGAAGGCCTGAGGGGCAAGCCAAGAATTCCTTTTTGTCTCTCTTATAGCACTCTTTTGAAGTTCAGTTCATAACAAATGCTTTAAAATTTGGAAAGCCTACACCCAGGTATCAGGGATTGAAACCTGCATAAAAATGAGATCAAATATAGAGAAGTAGGTATGACTGATGCTAAAAATGATAATGTCTAGAGAAAAGAAACAGGAAACTGGAAAGAGAGCAGCAAGAGCACTAAGTTTGGACTGCCAAGGTTTCTGTATAGAATTGCAAGAAGCATAGCAAGGAAAACAAAGAAACTGGAAAATGCTGTGCATAGTCAAGTAGGGAAATTTGACATTATAGGCTTAACGAAAGAATGGTACGTAAACAAAAAATGTATTGGTACTACTTAAGTGAAATTCTTAAAATATAAACCAAATGAACAACAGTGTGCGTTATGGGGCATGACTGATCTTTATACACTACAGTTTTAAATTAGTAAAATGTGTAAATAAAGCATCTTCATTTAAAATAGCAAATAATTTTACTATTTCTTAAATATCAGAAGAATTTCCAAGTTCAACTAAGTTTCTTTGTTACTTTTAGCAAAGAAATGTTCTCTGTGGTTTTATACATATGGTTACGTTAAAATTTCCATAACAAGCAAAATAAGAGAGACAAAAAAGAATCCTAAATAGCATGGGTCATCAGCAGCATATTTTCCACCCACAGGTTAACTCCACACTGCTGGCTCCAGCAGAAGTCAGTTCCTCAGTATCTAACACTTTTGCAAGAATGAAGGCTACTTGACCCTAACACATACCCGTCGCATGACCCTTCCCTCTTAAACATGGTTTAGTTTTGCTTTTGGTTTTTTTTTTGTATCAGCATGGACATTCTGTTTCCCCGTATATGTAGGAAATACATAGACAACTTTAGATGGCTCATGATCCGTCATCACACCAATGAAATTCCACTGCGGAACTGAAAGGGATGCAATAACTTGGGGGGAATCACGCTTTATCAGAAAAGTGTGAGATGTCATTTTACAAGTGCATTTTAAGAAAATAGAATAACTTCCTCTCTCTCTCTTCTCTCAAATCCTCAATCTCAGACTGTTTACTTAAATTATTTTGACAGACTTTATAGGTAGCTGGCTTCCTGAAGTTCTTTAAAAAAGCTTTTACAGTTATAGGTATAACAAAGGCTAAAACTGAAACTTTATGCAAAAACAAAGGACAGAGAAAAAGATGTTGTCTGACATTACCATTCCTATTCTAATGTTTGCAATCAAAAATCTACTAAATATGAGAATGTAAAAAACCTCTACAACTTTCACCACCCCCACCCCCACCCCCCCGACATTCTATTTAAAGGCTACTGTGCAAGGAAATAGGTATTTTCATACAAACTCAAGCTGGCATTGTTTCTCTTATTGGCACAATGCCTTTGGATGAATTTTATAATAGCCCAAATAACATCTTTGTAGAGTTTCTCTATTTTTTTCTGTTTGAGCTGATGTACGTTGGAAGAACATTATAAACACTGTTTTTCAAAGAAGCATCATAACCGAATAGTGCCGTTCCAACATCAACAGAGTTGAGTAGACTTTTCTTAGCCATTTTTCGTAATAATTTCTGTTTCTCGGACAGTGCACTTACACTTTGTCATTACCAATGTGCCTGCAGTCGTGACTTTTCCTTTTCGAAGTAAGGAACTAATTAATAAGAATCTGCTTCTATTAAGATCATTCCTTTGAATAAATGACATCCTTGTCTCTTCGAGTCTTACATTTGAAAGAAATGTATGAACTAATTTATCCAAAACCATGAGATACTTGTCTAAGACTCACAAGTAGCACTCACAGGTGCTGTGCAAATTTTCTCAGGAGAATTCTACCACCAAAATGATATCAATACCAGCCTACCTGTAAGATCTTCACTCTACAAGAAATTCTTAAGGCAAAAAGTATTTAGAACTAATACTGGCATACAGAAGTGATGACTGATATCAAACCAATATCATGTCTGTCAAAGCTGTAACAGTTTATGTACTACAGTGGACAATTTTTATCCTCTATTTAAGAACTTTAGATCTGTCATGGACCAAATATCACTGAGCTATATCGCTTTAACAAACAATATAACTTAGCTATATCATACTGATACAATTCTATTCTATGGGAAGTGCTCTGAGCAGCCCCCATAATGCAACTGTCGACATACATAATCTAGGGTTACAGGAACATGGATTCTGCTCCCTTTGCAATTAACTTCCTGTCTAACAGCAGGCAAATTAGTTAGACCCAAAAGCTCAATACTGGCTAGCACCTAAACATCTTGAGAATTCAAGTCTTGGCCTTTTGTGACTTTTACCTCCCTAATGGTAAAACAGAAATGGTAGACTTTCCAATCTTAAACTCTTATGGTGAGAGTAAGTGAATGAGAGATAATCATGTACTCACATACTATGACCATAACAGCCCTATCAGTATGATAGAGTAGCTTATAAGATTTTATAAATATCACAGAAAATAACCTTCAAGTTGGATGTGCAAAAAATGTCTGTGCAGAAAAATGGATGCTGCACTACCTTGTTATAAAAATTTGTTCCTGAAACTACTAAGAAGTTCTATTTCATCTATGAATCTCCACTCTACAGGAAAGAACTACTACAGCTTCCACAAAAGAAGACAAAAAGAAAACAAATCCAGATTCTAAGCTCACAGCTATTTGAAACATGGTTTGCAGTCCCAAGAACAGGCTTGGAAGAGTCAGAATGCACATACTCCTTTTAAAGTCGTACACTTATTACTGCTTTTGAATCAAGCACTGCATAAACCAAACTGTGCTTCTTGGAACACTGTGAAACTGTTGAATATTATTAACTTTGAATAAAAAAGTCAAAATTTTGTTTAGATAGAAATAGTTACTGCATTTCCACAGTGTGGCAATAATTGCTGCTTTATACATATTTCCTTCCATTCAGTGTCAGAGGAAAGGGTCTTATTGGTAGGTTTGCTTCAGTGTGCCGTTCTGCCTCAGTCTCACACAAAGAACTCTTTGTAGGGTCACAGATTAGCATTTGGGCAGGCAGCCAAGAGAGATGAAAGGAGGATAGCTACACTGAGGACGTACATAGCTTACACTGTTCAAATACCCTGGGGGAAAAAAAAAAAAAAAAAAAAATCCATGTAGTCTGAAATTTCAGTAGCTCTTCCCTATCCCCTTAGTTTCTGAAAAAGTGCTTTTAGTGGAAGCTCTAGCAATGTGCTGTTCTACTCTGGCACTACAGGTTGTGGAGTCTTACACATAATAAGTATTACCTCAGTACTGAGATAAAGTAATATTTTAACATCCAGTTATAGCAATGTTGTTCAAGGGAGAGGCAGGTATAGTCACATCTTGACAAAGGAGACATGTATACACCCCACCACTAGGTAACAAAAAACTTTATCATACCAGAGCGTACATTTAAAAAAAAAAAGATGGAAAGATAATTCAGAATAACCAGCATGTCTGAAAAATGGCAACCAAGCTGCCATTGTAGAAACCAGTGTGAAAAAATAGAAAATGCTTAAGTTACAAAAATCAAGACCAAATGTTCTCACAATACTTTCATCCATATATCTGTATCTGCATTCATCCATCAATATAAATTAATAACAACCATACAGAGCTCAATTTCAAACAGGAAACACTGCCTGCAAAGGATGCTAAGGATAGCTAGCACTTTGAAGAAATTTCCATTCTCTGCATAGTCAGGATCTCAAGTGATATGTAGAAGGATATATAATTCGTGGTATAGTAGAGAGAAGATGCAAAAGGTGTATTAAATATGGAGGTCAATTAGGAACAGAAGATATTACTGTACAAGGATTAAGGATGAAAGTCTACTTAGTATTCTAGGAAACTTCTAATGGGAAACAAAACCTTTGCCATTTATTTTACCACAAGTCAGTGGTAAGAATTCACTGAGGATGACTTACAGCTTACACTCACCATTTTATCTCTATTTAGAAACTGACAAGAAATAAATGAATAGCTCGGTCTTCTGAGCACAACTGACCTGCACAACAACCACTATTCACAACTGGCACTTTTTGTTGGCAGTCTGAGCAGAAAATCTAAGGATTACATTGGCATCAAGTCTGAAATACGCTCTGAAATCAAATGATGGTCTCTTGAGAACATAGACGAAGTACCTCATAGTGGAGAACAACTACAACTACCTGCTATTCATAGTCTGTGAGTAAGAAGCTTTCTGTTTTCAGCATTGCCAGATTTTCAGCATGCTTTATTTGGGAACAGTAAGGTCCTGATAAGTTATTAAAATATATTTTCAAAACACAGGAAGCACTGTAAAGGCAAAACAGAATGCTGTAATGAGTGCTAGATGGAGGACTATTCACTTTTGAAAAGTGAATACATCTTTATTTTTTTAAGCAATTAACAGAATGAAGGAGAGTATAAGTCGCAAACAGCCAAGTATTGCTGAAAATCATACAAATATAAAAATTATACGTGAGTGTATACGTAAGAAAACTATTACTTTAAATACTTTCTTACCTTAGCATTTTCGATGCAAGGACAAATAGCCCAAGCTGCACTTGCCTGAACATCTGGATTAGGATTTTTCAACAATGACCATAACAAACGAACTCCATCTAGACGGTCAATTATCCTATTGCAGAAACAGACCAAAAAAAGAGGAAATTAATTATGGAGTGGACAACTTAATTTTAAATTATATCAGTTTGTTTGGAACACTGCTTTAAGAAATATCGGTATGATTTTCTTTAACATACTGTTTTGCTTTATGTACGTGCTTGTGTTTTATTGTCAGCTAACCGCCATCAACATATTCAATATGCATTGCTTACTACAGCAGACGGGTGTGAACAAATGATGTAAAGACAGAGTATGTTTTCTAACTAAATCTCACTAATGTTGTTTACTTTCTTCTCAGCACTGTCACTTAAAATCCTTATAGAAGATAAAGTAAACTACATTATAATCAGAACTGTCATAAATGTGAAAACAAGCATGTAACCTTTTAATGATCTGCATGCAAAGTGAAATCTGAATTCAAGCATACTGGCTTCTTTCATATAGTAACAAATACTTTCCAAAACAAATATTTATGCCCAAAACTATATACTTAACTTTTTATTCAGTCTATGCTTAATGTATTTACCTTACTCTATGACATATTTTAAAATACTGTTTCTAATCTAGCATTAGAAATTAAAATGGTCACACCACAGTGCATCCTTTGTTGGGTACGAATAACGTGTAGCTTGTTTCCCATGTGTTCCTTACCAACAAGACTAACACTGAACACTATGTTACAATTACTTAAACACGCTATAATCAAAGTATCTTCATGTCTAGTTGAAAAATGAATTATCATCAGAATCATCTCTACACCATCTGTGTTATGTTTACATATCAATCAGGCTTGGGGTTCATAACTTCACATTAAGGTCCAGTGAATACATTAAACGGAAAAGAAGGTCAAACAAAACTTAATAGCCTTTACAAACATCTTTTTTTCAAAAAGATACGTTAAACCAAAAACAGATGAGCTGAACATAAAGAAAAGCAAATATACCTTCATTGTCTAACCTCAAAGAAAAAAAATGTCTATTGTATAAAATGAGTCTACACCTTGAACTGTAAATACAAGAGAAATTTTAATACAGATTGTGCTTAAAACATCAGATAAAACATCTAATTTGTGTTCACTGTATATAGGTGTGCCAGGAAATTTTTAAACTAATTATACCAGCTTTGCCAGCTTTGTATGTAATCCTATCATCATTTGAAGCAGAAAAAATAATTAAGGACATGAACTGTGTCTAAAATAACCAAAGATTTTATTCATAACACTTTTATGCAAACTGGTTAAACAACTATGTTTTTCAAAATAGTATTTTTTGCACAAAGCTATGGTTAAGCTGAGACACTATAAGTTTTTTAAGATTTGCTAATTTTAATACAGCTATTTTACATACTCGGCTCCAAATCAACTGCAAGAAAATCATCACTCAAAGGAAAAATTCAGAAGTCTTAACGCAGCATGATCAGGAACTATACAATTACATATATATGTTCACATAGTAAGGATGACTTAAGTAAAAGCTTCAAAATAAGCTTTTAAATCCCTCCAAACCCTGAACACTTTCAAGCAATTTTAACGTAGTAATGTCATTTCAGAAAGCACAAGGAAATTTTTCCTGTATTGGAACTAATTAAAAAAGAACCCATGAATCTTTCTTTCTAGTCAAACAGAGCACTGACCATTTACCAACATGAGGTACTTCCTCCCAAGAGGGGCTAAACGATCCAACTCCAACCAGTACATAAAAATCAAGAGATAGAAGCCAAACACTGAGCTCAGATTTTTCCACCACACTTAAAAAAACAACCTCTAGGCTGATCTATCTTTCCTTTCTTTTTTTTTTTTTTTTTTGAAAGCTTCCTTTTCAATTGAAGTTTACTTTTGTTTTCTTTTCAATTTTCCTGTCTTCTCTTCAGCTTTTCAAGGTAAACTAGCCTCACTCCATGGTTCACTTTCTAAGGAAGTGTTTTGCCTTTTGCTTGAAGACCAGAAAGACGAGTTGTCTTAGACCCAACAGAACCGCTCAGAATATCTGAAAGTCCTCTGTCCATTCAACATGTAAAAAATCAAAAAATCAGAAAACCACTGTGGACTAAACAAACAAATCTCCAAATTACAATGTTCATCACTGATTACTGCTCTCTCTCAGTTACACTAGATTAACTCAAACGAAAAGAACTCTACATACAAGAACAATGCTTTTAAATTCTCATACTAGAAGAATTATCGTTGTGTAATCACCATACAAGCAAAACCTCTTTTATTTTCATCTTGCTGAGAACATATATTTGCCAATTAAGAAAGCATTACTATCTTTCTATGGTTTCACCGCACAATGGAGCAGATTAAGAAAATGGGTGTTAAATGAGCATATCTGCTATAAAGGGAAACTAAAGAAAGGGAACACTAAAATAAATGGCCCTGCAAAATGTTTCCTCTATAAGAGTGCTTAGACATTAGTTTCCTTTCTATTCAAAAATTGCTTTTTAAAGTGGATAAAAATACACATTCAGATTTCTTTACAAATAAACAAATAGATGGGAAAATAGACCTGTAATCTTGAAAATTTCAGTTCTGATGGCATAATGCTAAACAATATTCTGATTTGCTGTTGTATATAGCTTTTGTATCTAATTTTCTTCCCAGAATTTATTATAACATTATTAGCAGGATGCTGAAACAAAGCTACTTTCCACAATAAATACAAGCAAACACACATTAAAATTTACTTTGGTTGGCGTTCAATTCTGTATTCATTCATAGATAGTATAGTAGACATTCTGTTGTTATGGTCACTTAAATGATATATTTTATAATTGTTGACATTATGATGACAAAATTAAACTACAGTTAAATCTGGATTAAGCAAGCACTCACGGGACTGTAAAAGGACAGGTCTTTAAATAAAGATGTAGAACATTTTCTTTGAAAGCTGAAGGGAATCACAAAAAAGCTGAAATAATATCATATTTAGTTGATATAAAAAACTTTAATATTTAATATTTTAAATTTCAAATATTTATCTTCTTTATAGAATAGGTGAACTGCATGTACGCAATGTATCTAATGTATAAAACACTACTAGTAGCCAAAATCTTAACAGGCATAAAAGTCACCAAATTAGAAATGTAAACTTTATTATAGGTAATTGCTATACGGTGCTTCATTATAAGTACCTAACAATGTATACATATGCACAGTTCAGAAGCAAGAGCCCAGATTCTGAACTATCATGGCTCTATACCTCAATATAGCAGAGGCATCTCACAATAGACCTGGACCAAGATGGCCAGCAGCCACCTTTTCTCATTCAAAGCTCTGTGCCTTGTCGTAGACTGGTTTTACTTGACCACTGATACAATTTAGAACAAGATGTAGATTATTCCACTCCTCAAAATAACCAAAAGCTCTACTGGCAGTCAGAAATAGCTGGTGTGAAGAGGCACTGCTATCATGCACTCCTGTGCTGGCCAGACATGATTAGAGCAGAAGTGAAGGGGTATGCAGCTGACATCACTCCCACAAAAAGGCAACTGCAAGGTGTATGAACAAAACATCCTCCTGGTTTCCACACAAAACAGCTGATGTATGGTGTATGTTGAATAGGTCTTATGCGCCAATAACATTAAGGCAATCAAACCCATTCAGACATTACTGGAACGTCCAGGTTACAATGAATTTGTATTTGCTATCTGACCAGCGCAGATAATTTAATAAGATAGTATTTTTGAATGACTTCTGTTGGCTGTTTACAGTCAACAGTTGTTTAATAGACTTTTCACATTATTTACTCTAAGAACCTTGATATCATGACATCATTGAACATCATGAGATGTCTGTGCAAGACATGGGTCATATCTGAAACTAGAAAAGCTGTTCATCTGAAATGGTAATTCTCTTTCAAATTCAAACTTAATATTGAACATTTCCAGTAGAAACTTCAACATAAATTGCTTAAAAAACCATACATACACACAGCCTAGACATCTGTTTATCATATCTATCATCTTTCTCTGTTACTGTGTCATTTGCCAGAACTTTTGAGAACTCTAGTTTAATTGTCTGCCAATTTAGACCACAAATATAAATGTAAATAAACAAAATTATACTGACTCTGTATTGTGCTCACTGGTAAGATTACAGGGTTTAATTCTGGCAGAATGTAATCTCGTCTTTTTTAAAACCACAATTTAGCATGTTTCTTGAAACTTTCACTAGCTGCTGTAGACTGCTGATAAATAGTATTATATACTAATGACTCAAACTCCATTTGGCTAAAATAATTGTACATTTTAGTTCATAAGATTCTAAACCCTCAGTTTTGAATGCCAGAGATTAAGTCTATGGGTTTTCAAAAGAAAAGGGCAAATGAAAATCCAGTGGCAGTTAAAGAATAAGCACTAGTCCTCTGTTTTTAGTAAGAGAAAAAGAATAACTTGAAAAAAGTTCCTCAAAACCACAAATTTACATAAAATGTGAGTAGCACATCTCTGTCAGTGGCTGTGCAGCAGACTGAGTATGGAGAAGAGCTTCATGCTGTCCATATAATAGTAAGGAGGTTCAGTCACACAGTTATGCTTTTTTTGAGATAAGTTAACTCAACTCATTTTTTGCTGTGAGAGAAGCTGGCTGCTGTTTTTTATTTTACATAACTCAATAGAGTCAATAAGAATCACTTAATTGCTTGAAGTTGCCTTAAAGTAAAGGCTTGGTGCAGAAAACTAACCTTCCACTCAGTACCTGTAGGAGTTAAAGTGTCAGCTAGGAAACATGGCAGAGATAAAACATATAAAAGACCTACAGAAGCTGTAGATTCACCTATGCCGATCTACTAGTCTCTATCAGTGCAGGCTTCCTCCACGGAACGTATGATGAACATACAGTATTTTCCTCAGAAGTTAACTGCACTGCTTCATAGAACTGCTTCTCAGTTTTTTATAATCCATGGTAATATTTTATTTCTTATATTAATCCCATCATCTTCATTACATATCCTTGAATCAGAAACTCCACAAGTCTGTATGGTTTCCACACACCTACTACTGCAAGTATAACCACATTCAAAATAGAATACTGCTCAACCGAATATTTAGTCTCTAAGCCAGACTTTGCTAAACACACATGCAGCTCATGAAATGTAAGAATATATCTGAAAATTCTCAATCCTTGTGAGGACTTTATACTCCCTTTAAATTTTCTTGCTTTGTTCTGGGTTTCTAGTACATATGAAAGTCAATGATAGCAGAATCCAGAAAAATCATCATAGTTTCCAGAGCTTCTGTAGTGCCAAACTAAAACCGTAACTCTTTAAACAGTGCTTCTCTGTACCAGATGAGAAATAAAGCAAGCTTCACGATCTGCCAGCCAAATTAGTCAGGAGAAAAGCTAATAGTAGAGAACAACTGATCTCCTAGAACCTGTCAAGCCATTCTGAGGAATAAGTGATTATGAAATAAGGAATGTAGTAAGGATCCAGCCAGATGAACCAGGAAGAGACCAGAAACAGCTAAGTATCAACCTGCAACAGGAAGTTCTCATCACCTGTATATACTTACAGGCTACAAGTAGCTTTGCTTTGCTTCTTTCTAGAAGACAATCTTGGCACATCTCCACATCCTTGTTAAGATGCATCCTTTTGTTTAAGAACTTCAGAAAATGTTCACAGAAAGAGAATGAACTCCGCAGTAATTCCTAACAAGGCTACTTACTGCTTTAGCCCCAAATTCTGTAAATGGAACAAAGTGGTACCAGACTATGTATCCTTCATGTCTTTGATGACTTACTCTTCCCAAAAAGGAGGGGAGTAGTTTGGATGAGGAGCTACAATTTCAATTACTGCTGTCC